ATATTTGAAATAATTTTTGATAATTGACAATTTTTCTATTTACTTTCTTTATTCTTGGAATCTTATTTTTATTTTTTAATATAGTTATTGAATAAACAATATAATTGTTGGAGTAAGAAGCCCCAAATTTCTAATACTCTAAATTTGGATCCTTTAGTGAATATAAATCATATTTTTCATCCTCACAATTAATTTCAAATGAACCTCCATTTAATTAGTAAATAATCATTTTTTCTTTTGAAATTATTTTTATTTTATATATTATGTTTTTTATCTTAAAATTAACAAAATTTGGATAATAAAAAGTTTTCATATGTGAAAGAGTTTGTTTCGGCTCTTAATCTATCATCAATGTATTTTTGATCATTCTAGAGTTAATCAAACTGTTACATATGCAAAAAATACTTTTTTAATTTCATTTTGCATTCCTTTGTTATGTTATACATTGAAAAAATTTTGCTAAGAAATGATATATGTTACTTTTTTCGCTTCAGACAAATTAACATTTTCATCATTATTGTTTATTGTTTTCATTTTCTTGATTATCATTATAAGTATGTTTGAGAGAATAAATTAGATTATATTAATAATAATTTTGTTTAATACTTCATTTAAATTTTTAATTTATGAAAAATATTATTTAAAAATAAAAATCTAGCACTTAGCTATAAATAAATTCTTTTTTATGGTTTTATAGATAGATCAATACGCAAATTAAAGAAGTGATTTTGATAAAATAACTTGGCGAATCCTCTTCTAATGAAAAGATAAATAATGATTAATTAAATTATATTTTTAGCAAACCAATTTTAAAGTCACTTAGGAATTTATATAGTTGAAAGTTGATATTGGGAACCCCAAGAAGGATTTGTTATGTTAGAAGGAAAATTCTATAAAATATAAATAAATGAATTATTATAAAAGTTCTAGAATAAGTACTTATTAAAATTTTATGTAAATACTCTGAATGAGATTGAAAAAAAATTAGAAATGGCAATCAAATTTTCAGATTACATAGATTTTCTATGCAGAAAATAAGATGAATTGGAAAATTTATATGAAGATTTAGTTGAGTGGATTAAGAGTAATTTGAAATGATTTTATATAGTTATGAGTTTAATTATAATAAGGAAGATTTGAGTATATTTTGGTGAATTAAGCTTTTCATAATGTAAGCATTAACAAATGAATAATTGGTATCAAATTATGATATATATTGATCACATAGCTGTTTTCTCCCATTTTTCAAAATCTTTGAACCTCACTGTGAAATCAGTATTATTTCTTTTGGCTTATGAGAAACTCTAAATAGATTATCATAAAATAAATTATACAGTAATAAAAGATTTGGCATCTTCACCTGCATTCTCAAAAAGTTAACAAAAATCTTCAAACTCTAATTGGTTGCCTTAAAAATCTCCAAGAAATGATTCTAAATCTATCTTAAGTTCGAATTCCTTTTAAATAATATCAATAATTGTTTATTTTTAGACATAACCTGATCTATCAGGCTATCCTCCCAAAGCAACAAATGCATCAACTAATATTAATTGATTTTTTAAATACTATATTCTTAAGTGATTGTTTCTTCATCTTCTAGTTGTTATTAATAATTCTTTAATTTACAATAAAGATCACATATTTGTTTGAGTTCGAGTTACTTACCATCGTATGTTTTTAATTCTTCTTTGAATTTCGCAATCATCTTTTCGTTACCCAATAATTTCAGATCTACATCAATAAATTATATTAATACCTCGCATAATATCATCAACCTCGTTTTTACTAACATAGCCAGTTCCTTTTGGATCATATCGTTTAGCTTAAGTCATCAATTCTGTAATCTCAATTTGATTTAAGTTAAAGGCACTTTTTATTTATTGTATGATATCAGCTTCAAGTAATAGTGTTTTCCTTTTCATAAAATTATTTTTATATTATTAAAAATTAGATACAATATAATGCAACATATATTATATCGATTTGCAACTCATTCTCAATGTTTCAAGATAAAGTTACATTTTCTCTTAAGAAATACAAATATATTTTATTAACAAATAAAATACTCATAATTATTTATAATGGTTATCATAAGTCTCTTCAAAATTCTTTTTAAACATTGCTTAAATGTGTTCTACAAACAATTCAAAAGTAGCAAATTAATCTGGTTTAATAATTTCATCCACCTTCATTGAAAGTTAGGTTGGCCTATATTAAAATAATTTCCTGATAATACCCTAAACTTACATGGAATTTCTTCTCATTAAAAGCTTTTTCAATACCCAAAACAATGATAATTTATGTGTCAATTTTACGATCATAAGCATATTAAAGCATTCCATTCTTCATCTTCCCAACCTTATCACTTTCATGCATTCTATGACCTTCTGGATATACCAACAAGTTTGGCCTTGTCGCTTTATCAAATTTGTTATCAATCCATTTAAAGAAGCTTTTTAATAATATTATATATTACTTATTTAGATCGTTTCCTCCTCTTCTAAAAAACCACACTGATTGGGTAAACAATTGTTGGAATATAGCAAGCATTGGAAATGCTACTGCTACCATCCATCTAGCTAAGAAATTTGCACTATATTAAGAAACCACGTCATGAATAAAGAAATCTCCTTACATCCTATGATTGAATAGTAACATTGTCTTCAATTTAATAACAAAAGATTACTCTCTTATTTGTTTGAACTTTTTTAGAGTTTGGTAAATATCTGAATTACAGTCTTAATGTCTTGACTGCTAATCGAGACCAAAACTCTTGAGCTCTTTTAGGCTAAAATGTCAAAAATGAATAGATTGGAGCAACGACTGATAATATGAAGAAGATGTATATCACAATCCCAAAAAATTTAATGATTATTTCATTTTAAAACCATATAATTATTGATTTAAGTTTTCTCATAATAATCTAGAAGTTCTTTTTTAATTAAGGATTTTACTTTCATTTATTAAATTTACCAAGAAAATGCATTCAGATTTGATTTTCTCATTTCTTGCTTGCTGTATATCCACCAATATTTTTATAATCTATATGTATTTGAAATAAGTATTATTATAGTACTTCCAAAATGTTCAAATAATAATTATTTTTATTATTCAAATAAATGCTAGAACCTTCTAAAGAATTTTAAGAAAAGGCAAAAGGAAGATAAAAATTTTAGCATTAAGGAAGAACGATTTATGAATGGGATTAAACATTAGATGATATTAATATATACATAAGCCAAAGGCAGTTTTAAAAAAGTATGAAGACTAAGTGAGATAATAATTGAAACCTGGAGAATAAATGCCAAAATTAGATATTTAAATAAAGGGTGATCACATAAAGATTGGAATAAAGGGGAATCCAGCATTTATTGATGAACCATTAGTGAAACAATGTGATTCAAGCGAATCATATTGGTTAATAGAGGATGAAGAACTTCATATAATATTATAGAAGGCATACAAAGGGGAACTATGGCCTAGTGTGTTTGTAGGACATGGAAAGGTAGATCCATTAACAGAATAGGAATTATAAAAGAAGATGCTTTTAGAGAGATTTTAGGAAGAGCATCCAGTAGAGAGATTTTAGGAAGAGCATCCAGGATTTGATTTTTCAGGAGCATAAGTAAATGGAATGGTACCTAATGCTCGAACGTTTATGGGAGGGATAAAACATAATTGAATTAAAATTTATTATAATGAATATATTATAAGTGTACGAATTGAAAGAGTGTTTAGGGAATGGATCTTATGGGATAGTACATAGTGGAGTAAATGTAGAGAGTGGGAAACGAGTAGCAATAAAGATGTTAAGAGAGACATTTGAATCTATGGATGAATGTTTAAAATAGAGAGAAGTGAAGGCATTAATGAAATTGAAGGAGCATCCAAATATAATAAAACTGCTGGAGAGTATGCATAAGTGCATGTGTTAGTGCGATACGAGAATAAGCGCCTGTATTTGATCTATGAGTATGTGGACAACAATGTGTACTAGCTATATACATAGGATAAATTGGATGAGGATCGTATAAAACATATTATATTGGGATGTGCTAATGCATTAATACACATACATAATTTGGGATATTTTCATAGGTATAGTGAAGTATATTAAAAAAATAAGGGATATAAAGCCAGAGAACATTTTGATATCAAATGAATAAGTGAAATTGATAGACTTTGGTCTTTCAAGGGAAGTCAAACCACCATTTACAGATTATGTTTCAACTCGTTGGTACAGAGTAATAAATATAGAGATTAAAAGGCTCCTGAAATTCTGTTACATTCTATAAATTATGATTCATAAATTGATATATTTGCATTAGGATGTGTTACCTGTGAATTGTTTTTAGGTAGACCATTGTTTGTTGGTTCTTCTAAAATGGAATAATTTGATCGAATGTTATAAATATTGGGGTATAATATATTAAAAATTAATTTAGAACATTCACTAGTTAGGATTGGAGTGAAGGAATTAAGTTGGTTAATCAATTAGGATTAAAATTGACACATTATCCCTAAAAATAGTTACATGTAATCAAAGCATCCCAAATGGCTTTAGATTTGATATAAGGAATGCTAAAATGGAATCCTAAATAACGATTCACAGCTAAATAGATTACTGAGCATTTATTATTCAAGCAGTAATAAACAACTCCAGAGTTTGCTCCCAGAAAATTATAAGATATTGGCCAATAATAATAGGAGTTGAAAAAATTTACCAATTAAAAACAATAATACTAATCCAAGAAGTGATTTTATATTATTTTGATTTATGAGATAAGTTTTTGGTATTATTATCTTACAAATTAATTGTTATTTTTATCAAATGATTTTTTATTACTACAATGCTTAAACTGCAATGTTGAAGGTATAGAAACATAAGTTAACATTTATTCTCTGATTATATAAATCAAATAAAACAAGATTAAATCTAAAAAAATTATAATCTTATATTGAATTTTCAAGTGCTTTAAATAATTCAACCTACAGCTTTATAGGAAATCCTCTTGAAGAAAACTCTTTGAGTAATATTAAATAATAATTTGAAATATTCTCTTCTGATGATTCACCTAAAGTTTGTGAAATATAAAATAATGAAATCAAACATCCTAAACTGAAAAAAGATTAATTAACAATAGATTAGTCACTAAATTTATAACAATGCATTCTTTTTTTTAATCTCTTACCTTAAATTAAAAAAAAAAAATCTATTAATTTAGTTTAGAGGCTAATCTTCTTGAATTATCTTATTCAACCCATTATTTGTACAGATTTAATTGATCTTAATTAATAGATTATTTAAAAATAGCAACAATTGATATAAGCTTATAAAGTTTTTAATTACAATTTAATATTTTCGTTGTATTTTTTTAAATTATTGCATTTTACATTAGAACTAATTATTTCTTTAAAAAATTATGTGTTAAATTTTAATGTTAATTTATTCCTTAAATCAAAGCATCTTTAAGTTTTGAAAGTTAACGAATTTTCTATTCATGTTGATCAAATACTATTAAAAATACTTATTATCCTAAATAAAAATCTGATAATCTTATTAATGCCTTTTTTTATTCTATTTCTTAATCATGTCTTTAAATTCTTAAATTATAATAGAAAATCTTTTGATAATCATTGCAACTTCTTTTCCTATTCAAAATATACTATTCAAGATTATCATTTCCCATTTTATAAGATCTTAAAAATGATCTCAAATTTTCTGATGGTGCTTTTTCTGTATCCCAACAGATTTTTTTTATATCATTCTATAATTTTAAATTAAAATTAATTCTCTCTTCATCAAAAGTAAACATCAAAAAAGGACTTTGTATTATTACTGGCAAGGTTTATTCTAATTAAATTTTTTCAATTTACCCCATTATTTATCAGAAAATTATAATTAAAAATGAGCTCTCTAATTTTAATCATTTTAATAGATAAATAACAATATACATAGAGTTGCTATTATTATTTACATGAAATCTTAAACTATAAAAAGGTCATTTTACAATCCCTAAATCAATATTCTTGATGAAAGAAAAACAATTAATTAAATTGGAGCTTCTTAAATATTTGAAAAATAAAACATTTTCATGTTAAATATCATTACATTTTATCCATTAATATAAATAGATTAAGGTTATTGATAATATGATGCATAAACCTATAGAATTGTTAGCAGATTATTTTGTAAATGAAAAAATACTTTTCACTTTTTCTGATGTCCCCTTAAAAGAAACAAACACAAGAAATATACTGTAACAAGTCAAACAGATTTCCCAATACATAACTTCA